AAAACAAAAGTCCAGGGCTGGATAGCTTTCCAGGGGAATTCTACCAAACATTTAAGGAAGAGTTAACACCTATTCTCTTGAAGCTGTTCCAAAAAACAGAAATGGAAGGAAAGCTTCCAAACTCTTCCTATGAAGCTAGCAGTACCTTCATTCCAAAACCAAAGACCCCACAAAAAAGGAGAACTATAGACCAATTTCCCTGATGAACATGCATGCAAAAATCCTCAACAAGATATTAGGAAACCAGATCCAACACTACATTAAAAAAAGTATTCACCATGACCAAGTGGGATTTATACCTAGGATACAGGGCTGGTTCAATATCTGCAAAACAATCAATGTGATCCATCACATCAGTAAAAGAAAGGACAAGAACCGCATGATCGTCTCAATAGATGCAGAGAAAGCATTTGACAAAATACAGCAACCTTTCTTTTTTTCTTTTCTTTTTTTTTTTTTTACAGCAACCTTTCTTGATAAAAACACTCAAGAAAATAAGGATAGAAGGATCATACCTCGAAATCATTAAGAGCCATATATGAAAGACCCAACACTAATATCATCCTCAATGGGGAAAAACTGAGAGTTTTCCCCCTACAGTCAGGAACAAGACAGGGATGTCCACTCTCACCACTGTTACTCAACATAGTATTAGAAGTCTTAGCCTCAGCAATCAGACAACACAAAGAAATAAAAGTCATCCAAATCAGTCAGAAAGATGTCAAATTTCACTCTTCGCAGATGACATGATACTCTATATAGAAAACCCAAAAGATTCCACCAAAAAACTGCTAGAAATGATCCATGAACTCAGCAAAGTTGCAGGATATAAAGTCAATGCACAGAAGTCGGTTGCATTCCTATACACCAACAATGAAGCAACAGAAAGAGAAGGAATCGATTCCGTTTACTTTGCACCAAAAGCCATAAAATACCTAGGAATAAACCTAACCAGAAGTGAAAAAATCTATACACCAAAAACTATAAAAAAGCTTATGAAAGAAACTGAAGATGCAAAAAAAAAAAAAAAAAAAAAAGGAAAAATGTCAATACTACCCAAAGCAATCAAGCAATCTACATATTCAATGCAATCCCTATCAAAATAACACCAGCATTCTTCACAGTGCTAGAACAATCCTAAAATTTGTATGGAACCAGAAAAGACCCCAAATAGCCAAAGGAATATTGAAAAAGAAAACCAAAGCAGGAGGCATCACAATCCGGGACTTCAAGCTGTATTGTAAAGCTGTAATAATCAAAACAATATGGTACTGGCACAAAAACAGTCAGATCAATTGAAAAGAATAGAGAACCCAGAAATGGACCCACAAAAGTATGGCCAACTAATCTTTGACAAAAGCAGGAAAGAATATCCAATGGAATAAAAACAGTCTCTTCAGCAAGTGGTTCTGGGAAAACTGGACAGTGACATGCAGAAAAATGAAGCTGGACCGCTTTCTTACACCATACACAAAAATAAACACAAAATGGATGAAAGACCTAAATGTAAGACAGGAAGTCATCAAAATCCTTGAGGAGAAAGCAGGCAAAAACCTCTCTGACCTCGGCTGCAGCAACTTCTTACTCAACATTTCCACAGGCAAGGGAAACCAAAGCAAAAACGAACTATTGAGACCTCATCAAAATTAAAAGCTTCTGTGCAGCCAAGAAAACAATCAGCAAAACTAAAAGGCAACCGACGGAATGGGAAAAGATATTTGCGAACGACATATCAGACAACGGGTTAGTATCTAAAATCTACAAAGAACTTATCAAACCCAACACCCAAAAAACAGATTTAATCTAGTGAAGAAATGGGCAAAAGACATGAACACTTTTCCAAAAAAGACACCCAGATGGCCAAATGACACATGAAAAAATGCTCAACATCACTCATCATCAGGGAAATACAAATCAAAACCACAATGAGATACCACCTCACACCTGTCAGAATGGCTAACATTAACAACTCAGGCTACAACAGATGTTGGCGAGGATGCAGAAAAAAGAGAAGCTCTTTTGCACTGCTGGTGGGAATGCAATCTGTTGCAGCCACTCTGGAAAACAGAGTGGGAGATTCCTCAAAAAACTAAAAATAGAACTACCCTATGACTCAGCAATTGCACTACAAGGTATTTACCCAAGGGATACAGGTATGCTGTTTTGAAGGGGCATACGCACCCCAATGTTTATAGCAGCAATATCAGCAATAGCCAAAGTATAGAAAGGACCCAAATGTCCATCAACGGATAAAGAAGATGTGGTATATATATATACAATGAAGTACTACTCAGCAGTCAAAAAGAATGAAATCTTGCCATTTGCAACTATGTGGATGGAACTAGAGGGTATTATGCTGAGCGAAATTAAAGAAAGACAAATATCATCTGACTTCACTCATGAGAACTTTAAGATACAAAACAGATGAACATAAGGGAAGGAAAAATAATATAAAAAACAGGGAGGGGGACAAAACATGGAACTCTTAAATATGGAGAACAAACAGAGGGTTGCTGGAGGGGCTGTGGGTGGGGGGATGGGCTAGATGGGTAAGAGGCATTAAGGAATCTGCTCCCGAAATCACCGTCGCACTATATGCTAACTTGGATGTAAATTAAAAAATAAATTTTAAAAAATAAATAAATACAATCTACAATGAACAGAAGGCTTTTGTTTGTTGTACATTTGGGAGAGATTCTCAGGAACAGAATTACTGGGTCAACACACAGGAACTCTTTCAAGGTTCTTGATTTCAGTTGCCAAATCCAGGGAGCGCCTCTACCTTTCGGCATCTCCCATGAAGCAGAGCTGCCCTGCAGCATGCTGACATCGGGGTGCTGACTCCCCTGGGCTCTGGGAGCCTGGAAGCCCTGGGTGGCTCTTTCCAGGTCCTAGTGCCTCAAGTCCTCCAGCTGGTCTCCTGCCACCTCAAGCAGCCCCATCCACTTCCCCGGTGCACAGTACAAATGTTATCATCTCCTACATCTCCTGTGGCCTGAGACAGGCTGGCAGGCACTGCCACAGGGCCCTAATGTGACTGAGTGGACAAGTGTGGGCTCTGGAGGCAAGTACACATGGTTCACATCTGGTGAACCACAGGCCAGTGGCCCACACCAGGCACTCCTTCACCTTAACTCCTCCTAAAGCAGATGAGTCTGTCTCTGACCTGCCTCTCAAAACCCCTTGGTCCATTGCAGGAGCCAGGTGGTTGTGAAACTTAAGGTGAGCATCAGAATCACCTGGAGGGCTTGTTGAAACACTGACCTGGGCCTCAGCCCCAGACTTTCTGATTCAGTAGACCTGGTGTGTAGGCAGAGAGACTGCAGTTCCAACACGTTTCCAGGTGATGCTGATGCTGTTAGACCAGGGACCACACTGGGAAAAGCATGATAAACTCCATGTGGGCGGCAACCAAGTCTATCTTATTCCAAGTTGTATCTGTAGCATCCAGCACGATGCCTGGACATACTGGATACTCAATAAATGTCCACCAATGACTGAACTGAACGGCCCTTGACCCCTGTCTGTCTGGTCCCTATATTATAGCTAACAACGTAATTGATCCCATCACACTCCTGTTTATAAACTCATTAGTGGCTCCTCATCACCATTTTCTAGGAATGGTACTTCCTTATAAGGCCTCTTCATATTTTGGTCCCAGCACACCTCTTCCGGCTTTTTATCATACCACTTCCCTAACATGCCCCAAACTGGTCATCATTTCTGGAAGAGGCCAGCTTCACCCCAGCAACTCCATCATTCAAGGTTCACTTATTGCAAGAAGCTTCCCCAACCCCTCCAAACAGAGATGACCACTTCCCTCCCTGTGCTCCCACTGCACACAACTCTTTACAGTTTACCGGAATAATTTTCAAAACGATTTCTGAGAAACTGCTGCATGCCAGGCACGAGAGTGAGCAATATTTAAGGTCCCATTCCTCCATTAAAAGAGGAGTTCAAGGCGTTTTCTACATTGTCAGACTTCAGGACCTAGCATCATAACGAATATTTGGGCTAGTATTAATAATGTCTGCTAATCAAATATATTAGTAAATGAAAAGCTAAGTGAAGGCATGCAATAAGGCAATTATCTGGATAGTTTAAATAAGAGCCTTACACCCTCTGCCCTCACCCCCGTTGCGTGCTTGTCCTCAGACTCCTCAGCTTACACAGGCGAGAGAATAATTATTATTTCAAACGTTCAAGATTACGACAATAACTCTGAAGCAGTACATAATTAATGTGTTCTGTCCCTCAGACTCTAGCAAAGAGCCTCTGAGTCCTTCAGTCATTCAACAAATCTTTAGAGCCGCAGCTTAGTCCTTAGAGCACAGGCCTCGTTTAAGGTTAACTCACAACGGCCCTTCAATCCAATGAGGAAAGCTGTGCATAAAGTGCTTCCAACAGTGCCTGGTATATGAGAGTTTTGCCGTTATTATCGTTATACCCAACTCACAGAAGAAGTAAGTCAGAGATGTGAGGCGAACTGACAAGCGACAAAGCCGATGAGTGCAGCCCCCCCGCGCCCCGCCCCTCCGCCCCTGAAGCCTAGGTTCCCGCCTCCAACTTCCAGTTTCCGTCTCGCACCTTGCTGCATAAGACAGCAATGGAACCCCAGACCTAGTCTGCGAACTGGCTCGCCCTTCACTGGCTGGGTGACCCTGGTCAAACGACTTCACTCTCCGGGCCTCAGTTACCCCATACGTAAAATGGGAAGGTTGGCTGGGCCGCCAGGTGATCCCAGAGGGTCTCTCCAGAGCTGGCACTTCTAGGAACATCACGGCACTCACAAGACCGGAGGCAAACAAGGGTGGAAGTCCTGCCCTCATTTTACAACAGAGGAAACACATTATCCAGGAGTTCAGGTGATGGCGACCCCGCCCCAAACCAAGGACGGGATGCACGTGGAAGCGCGGCCACCAAGGTCCTAGAACCGAGACCGAGCCCTCTCTCCAGCCCGTCCCCGCCCAACCCCATCCCTCGCTGTCACCCACACTCACCAACGGAAGTCCCAGCCGAGACCAGAACCGCCTAGAACCAACTGAGGTCCCAGCCGACACAGCGGGCCCTACCGCCACGCCGGCCCAACGCGCCTGCGCCAGGGGCATGTCCGGCCCAAGCCCCGCCTCCTGCCCTTCTTGCCAATCACAAAGCCGCTCTCACGGGAACTTTCCCAACCCCCCCCCCCACCCTCCCCAGAAGCACGTGGAGGTTTCCCGGAAGTTTAGCCAAGGAGAAAGAACCCGGCTCTCCTCCACAATCATAGATTGGTTTGGGCAGCTGAGTAAATTACTGTCCCGGAAGTGCCCTCTAGGATTTAGGGCGGTGTAACTCTATGATAAAACCCTGGGATTAGAGCATGGCATTCCCTCCCTCTGTCAGGGGCCGCCCCACTCTGAAAGGCTAGCGAAATTGTAACCATGGCAACAGTGGGACTTGCCGTTAGGGCTCTACTGTGGGATTTTACAGGCTCTCAATTTAAATACATTTAAAATTTTTGAACAGAAAAAACCCCACCTTTATTACAAAGCCCAAGACAGTCTTTAAGACACTAAATCAAACTTTCATTCACAAAATATTTTTTTTGAGAAACTACCATGTACCTGGGTAGGTAGAAACGGGGAATAGCGAACAAAACAAATTTCCCGGCACTCAGTGTAGCTTGCATTCCAGTGAAAAGAGTCAATGAGTCAAGACAGTGAAATTTAGAAGGGGAGCAGGAACTCAGTAACCAAAGTAGTGTTTTTATGCAATTAATTAAAAAAATAAATGCCAAAAAAAATCCATGGTGAACAAAATACCAAAGTTTTAAATAAAGACTGGATTCCCCTGTATCCACCCATAGAGAAAAGAATAATTAACTATGAAAAGGGAATGCGTTGGAGGAAGAGTGGTTGCACTTTAAAATAGAATGATCAAGAAAACCCTCATCTAGAAAATGACATTTTGGCAAAGACCTGAAGGTCTTAGAGCTATCTGGGGGAAGAATGTTCTAGACATGGGGAATAAGTGACATATCCTGAGGAGGGGTCTGTATGTTATGGAACTCCAGCTAACTAATAACAGCTATAGCTTACTGAGTGCCTAAAATGTACCAGACCCAATGCAAGAAGCTCTCAGCCCCCAGCTGCCAGGAACAACATCGTATGATCAGTGGTTTACCAGGGGCTGAAGAAAGTCCTGTGGGACTGCAGGGAAGGAGGGCTTCATTGAGGAGGTGAGCTTTGAGCTGAGCCTGAAGAATGAGTGGGGTTTACCAGGACAAGAATGGTGGTGGGAATGACCGGGCCGAGAGACCAGCAGGACATTTGGGCAGGGAAGCAGGAAATGATGAGGTGGTGTGAGGGAATCATGGAGTGCCATAGGGTTTCCATCTCTCTCTCTCTCTGTTCCTAATATAGTGCTTGACACACAGGTCAAAGCAGTGGTTCTCACCTGCACTGCACTGGACTCACCATGTGCCCCAGCCCCTCAACCCTGTAATGCCGGGTATCAATCTGGGGTGGGCCTGAGCATCAGTAGCCCTCCAGATGTTCCTAATGTACAGCCTGGGCTAGATCTGCTGGTCTAGAGGAAAGGCACTGGACAGTCTGTTGGGCCATTGGGTGGCAGGAGGTGATGTCAATGCATGTCATCTCCTTGGTCCTACAGTGGAGGAAAATAAAGCTTGGGTGGATCCCCCGACTGACATCTGCCGCCCAGCCAAGAGACCAGGCAGAGGCGGGCTGGACCTGAGCTCCTGTGCTCTAAGAATGTCACTGGGCCTCTCCAGCCCAGCGCTATAATCCAGGCTTTCCCCAAGGAGTGCAGTCCTAAAGGTTTTACTGAGGCAATATTCCCCACGCCTCCTTTCTGGGAGCAGGAGATGAATCACCTTCGGTATCGGCATCCACAGGAACCTTACATTTCTCCCTGCTCCCATGCACGTTATTACATCTCTTCCAATCCTGGAAAAGCCAGGCATCCGTCCCCTGCACCCTGAGGTGTTAATTATTTCTCAATTAGCAGCTCCCAGGCTGTAGAGCATGGTGGTGTGGAGAGGCCTAATGACTTGCCATGTTTATACACCCCCACATCTTCAGAGCACTTTACCAATGGTAACTAATTAATGCTCACGACCCCCTTGGGAGGCAAGTGGAGAACTGCTGCATTTTACTGTGGGTTTGCAGGAGCCTCTGCAGCCTGGAGCCAGCCATGGACAGAGTAGATGTGCTCCCCACTGAGAAAGCCCAGGAGTGGTGGAGACCCAGAATCTAGCCCTATCGCCACGGCAACTTCCAGTGTGACATTTCAATCCATCATTTGATCAGCTATTTGCTAGGTGTCTTGATTTACAGAATTCATTCATGATTAGAACCCTACAAGTTCCCTAAAACAGAAAAGAAGAACTCACAGAAAAAAATTCATTCATTCATTGTCATCAAAAACAAAAGGAGGGGCATCTGGGTGGCTCAATCGGTTAAGTGTCCGACTTCGGCTCAGGTCATGATCTCACGGTTTGCAGGTTCGAGCCCTGCATCAGGTTCTGTGTTGGCAGCTCAGAGCTTGGAACTTGTTTCAGATTCTGTGTGTCCCTCTCTCTCTGCCCCTCCCCCACTCATTTTCTGTCTCTCTCTGTCTCAAAAATAAACTATAAACATTTTTTTTTAAAAAACAAAACAAAAGGAGAGCTAAAGGACTCCATACCCCACGCCTGCCTTGGTGCCCCCACAGACCTGAGGACACACTTAGAAGTCTGTTTCTACTGGCCAGTGGTCAGACATACTCTTTTCGTATCCTTTATTTTTTTTTAAAGTTTATTTATTTTTGAGGAGAGAGAGAGGGGGAGACACAGAATCCAAAGCAGGCTCCAGGCTCTGAGGTGTCAGCACAGAGCCCAACACGGGGCTTGAACTCATGAACCACCAGATCACAACCTGAGCCAAAGTTGGATGGTTAACCAACTGAGCCACCCAGGTGCCGCTGCATCCTCATCCTTAACCAGAGAGCCTGCCCAAGTTGGGGATTGGCAAAGTGTTTTCTTTTTGTCTGTTGTTTTAATATATGAATGAATGAATGAATGGTTTGTCTTTCCCTAAGGTTGGAGTTCTTCCAAGGACACACTGAGTCATTCCTTCATCCAGAGCCCATGGCCCTGGTACAGAGGGGCTCTAAGTATGTGTTGAATAAACAAGTGAAGTCAGAGTTCCTAGTAGGCTCCCTGACCTCAAGTTGCTCATAATCTCTGGAAGAGGCTGCCTCTCAAAGTGTTGGTCCTCGCATCCTGTAGTCAGAAGTTGTGAGGAGGGGAGCTCAAGACCTGTACTGCAAGGAGACAGAAGTGGGATCAGGGAGGGCTTCTTGGAAGAGGAGACACAAAAATAGATCTTGAAGGATAATTAGGCGTTTCCCAAGCTGACAGGGTGAGGATGGAAAGATATCGTAGTCAGAGGGCAAGCAAGTGACCGCTGGCTGTGAGGAAGAGTGCTGAAATAGTCTGGCAGGAGCCCAGAGAACCCCCAGGCACCACAGAGCACAACCAAAAAGGCAGTGGGTGCCAGTGTACCAGCGCCTGCTGCAACAGGTTGCGAGTTTCTGGTCATCTTTGAGGCTGGTGGAATTTTTTTCCTGAAGAGTGATATTCTTTGGCCCAACACACATACACCTATTTGAGGCTCAGTGCCGACGACTCCTCCTCTGAGAAAGTCCCTGGGCATTTTATGTTCCACTCTATGGCATGTATTTGTTATAATTTAAAAACAAGTATGATTGTCACTCCAGGAAGACGGTTGTTTCCTTTGCTGAAGACGCTGGCCAGCGTGAGGACCCGGCCTATGGGAAATGGGCTTGAACTCAAAAACAGTGAGATCATGACCTGAGCTGAAACCAAGAATCAGACGTTCAACCACCTGAGCTGCTCAGGGGCCCCAGTGGCAACGCATTCCTATCAAATGCATCTTGACCCATAACCAAATTTGTGGGAGTGATCACCCAAACAGACCATTTCTGGTTGGCCTGGTCCCCTCTGTCTGGAGGCTCACTCTTCAGGGCCTGGGTCAAGGGCATGCTGTTAGGAACTCTGCCTTCAAGTCCCCAATGGCAAGGACTCTCCCTCTCTTGAAACCCCTCAAAATTGTGTCTGCGTCTCTCAGCTCGCCTGTCCTCTCTTGAGGTGACAGCTGAGTGTGCCACGTGCAGTGGGACAAACAGACCTGAGTGCAAATCCTCACTTTCTTGGCCACTTACCACGTGCCCTTAGGGGATACGCTACCTTCCTGAGCCTCCCATGTCACTGCAGCCTTAAAATAGCAGTGACATCTTTCCTGTGGAGCTGCAATGAAGATGTACAGGGCTCAGCATAGCACCTGGTAGAGACTCAGGGTTCCGTCGCGCTTGCTATTATTATTCTTATTGATGATGAAAGTGGCTGACGCGATGGCTGGCACACAGTAGGTCAGCAGCCCCTACAAAAACTCCATCTCTCCGCCCAGGCTAGACTGTGGACTCCTGGAGGGGAAGGGCACACATCCTGTTCGTTTCCAGCCTTGCCGCGGGAAATCTGTTCACGATGTAAAAAGGTTTTGCTCTTTTCTGCACATAGTCAATCTCAATACGTATTTGCCAAATCAATGTCTTTCTAAATAGTTCCCTCAATTCCTAGGAACGCCTTGTTAAAGATGCAACAAAACAAAATCGCAGCAATAGTTCCTCTGGCAACCAGTTAAGTCATTTCCGAGCACCTGCTTCGGATGGGCTCTGTAGCGCACCGGGCGCGGCTGCAAGCGTGGGCATGATTTCAGCAGTATATCCGGTCACTGTCATCTGGGAGGATGAGGGAATTGGGTTCCTTTCAACAGGCCTTTGCCGAATCTCTCTGGTGCACTGTTTGGGTTAAGGGTGAGTGGGATGAGGTAGAGCGTGTGCCTTCCGAAGCTGATGGTTTAGAGGGAAGGAGGCGGCGTCCGGATCCGAACAGACCTGGGTTTGCTTTCTAGCTCCCACACTTGCCGGCTATGTGACCTGGGGCAAAAGACTCGACCTTTCTGGTCTTTGGCTGTAAGACCCTGGGGTCAGTAACCTCTTCAAAATGCTGTGTTAGAGCA